GTCTGATAGGATGCTATCAAGTGGTCAGATGCTATTTCCTTACCTTCAGGCGGCCCTGGGGTTGTGGATATGTGTGCTCTCAGTTCCTTATCAGCCCTTTCAGAGTAGTCTCACTCACTCATCCCTAAGAAGCCCTCATCTGTGTGGCTACAGTCATCAGAATGTATCACCCACCACCTCCGTTATTGCTTCTTCCTGGTAGACCCGTGGGTTAGTGATGGGGGAATGTCTTTCTGTTCACTGTGAATATGTGTTGCTCTGATTGGTTGATACATAAAATGTTGATTGGCCAGTAGCCAGGCAGGAAGTACAGGTAGGGCAAGTGGAGAGGAGAATTCTAGGAAGTGGAAGGCTGAGTCAGCAGGCACCAGCCCACTGTCCAGGGAGCATGATGTAATGGCACACAGGTAAAGCCACAGAACACGTGACAACATATAGATTAACAGAAATGGGCTGAGTTTAAATGTAAGAGCTAGTCAGTGGTAGGCCTGAGCTAATGGCCAAGAAGTTTTAATTAATATAAGCTTCTGAGTGATTATTTTATAAGCGGCTGCAGGGTCGTGGGGCTGGGCAGGACCGGAGAAAACATCAGCAACAGGTTAGGGCACTTTGTCCTTCTCTTTTTTATTCTCTTTTCTTTTCTCCTCCAATCCTCTTTTCATACCTTCTGAAAATGGGCATTTAAATTTTTCTTCAGTTTTATTGGCATAAAATTAACAAAAAGTATATATTTTCAAAGTATCAAATATGATATTTTGGTATATACATATCAAGAAACAATTGCCACATAAACTAATGAACTGATTAATCACATCACATCACATATCAATCATTTTATTTTTAGCAATAATAATGAATATCTACTCAGTAAATATCAAGTATACAATATTGTTAACTCTAGACACCTGTTGTATATTTTATCTCCTAAATTTACTCATCTTATAACTTCAAGTTTGTGCCTTTGGCCAACACCTCCTCCTTTCCCCCCACACTGATCCTCGTTTCTTCATTTTCATCTCCTGACTTACCATACACTACTCCTGCCTTAATTCTTGGTGATAGTAGTAAATATGTGGATTGGTACCTCCAATATGCTGGGCACTTAGTTCCTTGAGCACACCTCCTCCAAAAATCTTTATTTATCTCAATAACCTTGAGATCTGATTCCCACCAACTCTATAATTTCCTGATAACACTTCATCCTAAAATTATATCCCATACCTTCTGATTTCAACAACCTCAATAGCTCTATCATATCAGTTTTTCTGCATACTATTCCCTGACAGCTACTTCTCCAGCCAGCTCTTCTAGGTCATTACCAACAAGCTTTGGGGCTGGAAATCAGTACATTAAGTTTGTTACTTTGTAGCTGTCATGTCTACTCCTGTTGATCATTTTCCTTACCTAGTTGACATTCCATACTCATGCACTATAATCACTCATTTTAATTCATTCTCAAATCTTTCTACCTCTCTTGTCGCCTAAGGTCAGCATGGCAAAAATCATAACTCTGCTTCATTCATGTCATCTGCCGCACAACCACACAGAGCTGAAGACACGAGCTTGCTGGTCTCCCTTTAAAGCAATTAGCCTCTGGTGGACCCTTCATGGTTTCTGAGAATTTCCCTACAGGTTCCTGCTCTTTCAGATGGCCATGCCACACCTGTTTTTCTCTCCGCAAATGTCCAGCATCTCCATACAAGTGACTTCACTCAAGGGAAGCATTATTTTTTAGGTGCACTGGCTGGGTTCCTTCTAAAACCTAATCTCATCCTTGTAAATTTCTAGTGAGCTTCCCTCTCTTTCCTACTGTTACAGTTTGAACATTTGCTCCCTCTAAAATTCATGTTCACATTTAATTGCCATTGTAACAATATCGAGAGACGAAATCATCAAGGGAGTAGTTAGGTCATGGAGGGCTCTACCTTGATGGGTAGGATTGATGTTGTTATAAAAGGGTGAATTTAGACCTCATTTGCCCCCTCATACCATGAGATAACAGAAAGAAGGCCCTTGACCGATGACTGAACATTGATACTGAACTCTCTAGCCTCCAGAATGGTGAGCCTATAAATTCTCTTCATTAGAAATTTCTTAGTCTCAGGTGTTCAGTTAGAGCATGCATAATGGACTGAGATACATTATCAAAATATTCCCTCTCTCTATGATCATTCCCATTAACACACATTCTATACTGTTCTCTAATCTTTAATTTGGAAACATTTATTGATTATCTATTATTTACATTTATGAGAGAGCTGAAAATGTGGAAAAAGAGAAAAAGATCATTGCATACTAGCCCCACAGACCAGAAGAGAGATTTTGTAAGAAATACTTCAAATTGAAGATTATAGCATAATGAATTATAGTACTTTAATACTATCTACGAATTTCCATAATACTCGCTTTTTATTGACTAGGTGATGTCTGTTATGGAGGTCATTTTGCTCACAGTAAAACCACTTTATGAGGCTTTCCAGTCTCTGTCACTAGAAGCAATAGCTCTCAGCTTCCTTTTAAATTCTCATGCATAGTGTCTCACTATTTTCCTTAGAGAGAAAAAGTCTTTAAAGTTAAGGTAATAATCATTGTTATGAGATTTTTGAATGCTGATAAATGGTAGTATTATCAGTCTGCCACTGAATGGCAGACTCTGGGCTCAGGGTTTCCCCATAGTGTGTTCATTTAATCCTCCTAGCAATCCTGTGAGGCAGATAATGTTTCCTTAACTGACAGGTAGACAACTGAGAAACAGGATTTTTTATTTTTAATAAAGTTTTTCTCCATGAGTTTTATAAAATTTTAATTTTGATTAGAAAAACATACAAATTCTAGTTTGAATAGCCAGAGAACAAGAAAAGGTATGCATGCAGACAATCTGAACTGAAAAAAAAAATCATATGCACTTGAAAATGAACACCTTCTTATGAAAGAGAATGTGCTAATGGCTTCAGTGGAGGTACTTGCCAATGATTTCTGCATCATGCCAGAATCAGAGCAATGACAGACCAATTTAGCCAACAAATAGCCAGGGGATACAAGGGCAAGGATGTGAAAGAAGGAAGGGGTTCTCAGTTATTGTATTGCTAAGATACTGTGTGCCTCGGTGTGTGTGTGTGTGTGTGTGTGTGTGTGTGTGTGTGTGTGTGTGTGTGT